GTACTTTAAAACAATATAAAAAAATTTTTTATGAATTGTGTAACAGATCTACAAATGATGTGACGGTTCCCCCTGTTCAAACTAACTAATGATTATGTATTGGATGTTTTATTGTATGTAGATGTTGGTTGAAGTTTGTGTAACGATAAATAATGGTGATACTTTTTTGGGAATTTGTACATATATATGTTTGATAAGATTTACCGCGTGAACAATGTACAACAGAAGCTTTTATGTGCGTACTGCTTACGAAATGGTATTTGCACAGTTGTTCAAAAGAAAATGTGCGTCAACTGTTGTTTATGTGTAATATAGAATTCGCGTCGCGTTAAAGAATTATTGAACGTATACATTGGTTAATTGATAGTTTAAAGAAATTATTATTTTTTTTTTTTCTGTTTTATTTTTTTTTTTTTACTTTTTTTTTCTGAAGTTACTAACATTTGTGGTTTTTTTATTTATATTTTATTTAGTGTTTAAAAGAATTAAAAAAGAAAGTATTCATATGTTATATGTACTGTTTGGCCTAAATCATAAGTATGTTCTTATATACCAGTTTAAGTTGGTTGGTGTCTGAGGTTAGAATGTACATGAGGCACTATATATATGGTTGTTTATTTGGTTCAATATGCTTAAGATGGATATTAGGGTTTCTGGTACTATATGAGGTTAGTTTGTTAACATGTCTTTTAACCCTTTCCTATTTATTTCGTTTAATCTTGTATATTCGTTTATTACTGATTTATTAGTTTTGATTGAAGTAAAATCGAAATTTAAGATGTTTATAGATTCCCACGTGGGAGCTCTACTCATCGCAACGTAGACTTGCCCTTCTGCGAATATTTTTTGATCGACATTTATTGTCATATGAGGTAAGATTAGTCCTTGAATTTTATGGATAGTGAGGGCAAAAGCGTTCTGTAGTGGAAATTGGTGTCTTGACGCTGGATTTCCGTTAATATCAAAGTAGATTGTTTCTTTCTACACGTTTAGTTTGACTATGTCAGTTGTTGTTGGGAATGTAACTTCAACTGTTTTACTGTTTATTATGTTAGTGATTACTCCGACTGTTCCGTTGCAAATGTTGTGATCGAATAATTTGTTGTTTAGGAACATAACTCTTGCCCCTTCTTTTAGGATTAATTCGTCTGGGAGGTTTGTGTAATGGCCGTAGTTGTAATGGTTGTCTGTGGTTGTGTCGAGTGGATGATGATTAAGGGTGTCAACAGCATACGAAATTATTGGACCAATGCTGCACTCATCGGTTGGGAGGTTGTCACAAATTATTTTGTTAATTTCTTTGGCGGTTTCACGCAATCCTACAAGGTGGGTTGAGGTAATATTATTATCAGGATTTAAATTGTTTATTTTACTAATAATCATTCTTTTCGAAGCTTCGGATAAGCGATCGAATCTTAGTTCTTGAAGTAGGTTATAAAAATTAGGATCGTTTTTTTGTCATTTAGGTTGGGTCAAGAATAAGGGAAAAAAACTTCTTCAAACTGGTGAGTAAAAAGCATGATGGGTGTTTATTGGTGGTAATTGAAAGAGATCGCCTATAAGAAGTACAGGGATTCCTCCGAAGATTTTAGAGTTACTATGGAGTGAACCGAACATATTACTCATAAATGAGAATAGATTACTAGAGACCATAGATATTTCTTCTATTATTATTGCCTCGATTTTTCTTAAGGAATCTTTTGTATTTTGGTTGTGAATTGATAAGGTTTCGTAGTATGAGTTCGTTTGTCTTATTTTTAATGCTGAATGGATGGTATTACCACCGACATTTTGTGCGGCTACGCCGGTTGGTGCAATTACGAGGTAGTTGATTCTTTTTGATTTTAGGAAGTTAACTATCATATGTAGCAGGTATGATTTACCCGTACCGGCAGACCCAGTTAAAAAGAAATATGGATACTTCCCTGCTGTTTCTGGTCCCCAAGAATTACAAAGAATGTCATAGGTCTTGTATTGATCTTTATCAAGTGTTAGTACGTGATGTGGGTCAATGGATGGTGTTTTACGTTCTAGTGAGATTAATTGATGAAGGATTAGCTCGTGAAGTTTTTTGTTATTTAATTGATTTAAAATGTTGTTTATGATTTCTCTATAGGCGTTAGAGGTGCGGAGTTCTTGGGATATGGCTGTGTTAGATAGTCTAGATATTTCACTTTCGAATTGGTTTGGGAATAAGGATTTGAATTTTTCACGGTAACTTAAGTGATTTCCTAGAAGTTCTTCTTCAGAAAAACACGGTGTTTTCATTATAAGACGTTGGAAAAAGAACGGTTCCCCTGATATAAAGAAGTATATTTTTAATATTTTTTTTTTTTAAAAAATAATAGTGATGGTCTTGAAATTATACTTAATTGTGGACTTACCATCTTCTACTTTGTACATTACGAACCGTACGAGGAGTGGCTTTTTTCTTTTGATTATGTACCGATTTTTTTGATCTCTTGTCCAGGGTTGTCTTGTGGTTCGGGGTGGTGTACCTAGTTTGATGTTATAGTTCCGGAAGTACTCAGGGTAAGTCATGTTTTCAAATTCGGTTGTTTCAGGGCGGTCGAAATATTTATCTATTGCATCGTCCCAATAAGGTTTTTCATCGTCTTCATCATTCTCGTCGGCGAAGTTTTGTAGTTGAAGGTGAATTGGTTTTATCGCTCTAATACGTAAGTGCGAGGGCGCTGAAGGTAGGTATTTGACGGAAACAGATGATCTTGTTATTTGGTATTGCAAAAGCAAGATCATCAATTCCATTGATCCTAGCCTTCTTGCTTGTATATGGGTTCGATAACTGTCATGGTCATCAATGTCAAATGTTTCTGAGGGTTCTGGTTTTGTTACGTATTTAGTTATATATTTTGCGAACCCTGTTGTAGTGACGTACTGAAAGTTTATATGGCCTTGCCATATTAAAAGTGTTTCAGGATGATACGGTACTATCCACCGATCTTCTTCTTTTGTTCTTCTATATACGTATCGAAGCGATTGTTCTTCTCTCCTGGTTGTTTCTGAAAGAGGTTGGGGGAATCCTTTTTTATAGTACCCTAGCCATGTCAAAAAAAAGTGTCGCTAAAATGAGATTCTACTTGAACCATGTGATGATCTGCACGATC